GAACATGACATTTCTGGCCTCACGTATAGGTATTTTTCAGTGCCAGAGATTCACAGGAGGTCTGTACAAACAAAAATCTTACAGCAACAGTGCTCTTTGGCTCATACCGTTATCCCTATTTAACTGATGTGATAACTGAGGCAGAAACATATTGAACTTTTTGTCCAAGGTCACACAGTGAGGTCAGGAACCGAGCTAAAGCAGACTCGAGCTCTTTCAGTTCACCGCTTTGTTTTAAACCATCTAATCTCCCTTTCAGCTCTTTGGCGTTGAGGCAAAAGTACAAAAGACTGTTAACACACTGTTACCCTTCAAATCACAAATCCCCAATGTAAAAAGAATGCAGGTTAGAGTCTAAAGCCAGTATGTGAAAATCCCTTTTCAACCCACTTGATACAAAAATATTGCAGCACGTCCATCACTTTAATAATATCTCACAGCAGAAGGTACTTGAGTCACTTTTAGTGTGCTGCCAATCCTAACTAAAAGCTCTTAAAACTACTAAAAGTTATGCAATCAGCCAGGAACATGTAGCTGAGGTAGTCTCCTAGAATCACGTTATAGACAACCTTTTCATTTGTGTATGAAGACAGCTCAAAAAAATGGTAAAAATAATAAAAAATAAAAGCAATCTAATTTCTACAGCGTTTTACATGTATCTTACAAATACTAAGTACTCATCTCAACAATTCCATGACAAAACTTTACCAGCAGCTATTTCAACATAGAAGCTGCACGAAAAAGGTGTGAAAACTGAAGCTGTAGCTTCAGACCTAAGGAACAAAAAAGGCCTCCAAGGGGCCAAAAATACACAACCACCAACCAAATAAAACACTGATGCCAGCAAGCTCAAGCAGTGACAGGATTCCCTGACCACCATCCGCCTGTTCTGAGGTCTTCTGTTACACCCTTTGCTTCCTGTTCCATGTGAAACAATGTCAAATCAATGCAGCACAGGTTGCTTTTCTTTCTTCTCTTCAAACAGCGTTCTTGATGATGCACACTCTGCTGCGTTTCCCCCTCGCCACCAAGCACTTTCATTCCTTTACAGTGAAGAAGAAACATCACTTCTTTTCTGTTGAACTTTGGTTGCAGTCAGCAACTCCCATTTCTAGGTGACAGTGTATATCAAAAGTTCAAAAGGCTTGTGTTCTGTAGTAATCTGCTTTAATTAACTTTTTAACTCCTCTTCCTAGCTTTCTAGGCAGTTACCTCTTTATCATAGGTGTAATTACGTTTTTCTCTCGATGTCAGAGGTGCACCAGTAGAAACAGAGTGAAACAGCACCCAGCCCCAAAAATGTAACTTAACAACCTGCGTAATAAGATTTGACAGTGTATTTTGAAAAAGGGCATAAATGATTCAGACACACCATGGAAAATCAGTGGAACTCAAAGTAATTTGAGGAATCCCATTCCTATTTGAAATTTAAATATCTAAGGAGAAGTGCTCAGCTGCTCAAAGGATCTGGATATCTCAAAGCTCCTAGCTTTTGGTGCATAGCAGAGGCTGTGGGTGCTTCCCCTCCTTGAAAAGCTATGTCTTGTGTGGAATTCAGAGGTCTTTTTTAAACAGCCCTTGTAAAGAAACATTATTTTCATAGCTGCTGGCCTTTCATAGGGGTGCTGCAAGGGTAAGTAAAGGGTAAATACCTGCTTATTACAGTAGATGTGGAGAGAGCCTTCCATTTCTAAACCCTACACATTAGCCACAAAGGCACCCCAGGACAGAGAGGACGAGGTGCAGAGCGACACCAAGAGCAAGTCACGCCGAGTAGTCTGGGACCTGGCTGTGAGGAACACCTGAGCTAGAGGCTGCAGACGGAAGACAAGAAAAACAAGCACCACAGCTGATCTGAAAGATTATAGAAAGGCCTCAGATGAGACCACCAATGGCCCAAAACAAGTCCAGCTGCACTCCAGGAGTTTCAGCTGAGTGTAATAAAGATGCTGCCTGTTCGCCAGGAGTGCAGTGAGCCAGCCGGCCACGCACTAGGAGAGTGCCAGCGTACGACAAGAACACAAGCAGCAGCGAGATCTGCAGAAAAGCAGCTCTCCTCATACATATACTATCCAACAGGGGCAAATGTTCCACAAGCCTGCAATCTGTGACACCGAGCCCTTCAATCAGGTCACGGCAGTTTTGAGAGTGAGCATGTCCCGCACAGCTCCATAGAGACAAGTATCTTTATCCCACTGCCTGCTTTCCAGATTTGATAGGCCATTCGTATGCTGCTACAAAGAGCCTCAAACCAGATTATTGGTTTTCAGTCTTCCCTACTACCACATGAGAGGTTTTAATAAAATATTTATAAGCTGGTTTATAATAAAGGATATTTTTGGCAGAGAGCTTTACTGACCCGCAGTGCTAGCGAAATATTACCCAGTTATAGAAAACAGCACAAAGTTCCATTTCATTTTTAGCATTGTACACTTGGTATAAATTGCTAGCTTATTAAAGTATAATCCTCCAAATAGAGCAACTAATTCTTTCTTCAGCCCTAAACATCAGGGACTTGGACAAAACCAGACCTATTTCCAAAGGTCATCTCGCTTTGGTTCAGGAAAATCTGTATCACTTTTTCCTGGACGCCTTTCACTGAAGTGTACCCCAACTGTCTCAAGCACACCCAAGAACAGACTGAAAGGACTGCTAACATTCATGCCCAGTTCAGACACCTAACTTGCCACAAAGTCATTATTACATTTGCTATGCATCTAAGATATAATTAAACCACAACACCTTGCTAGATAATGAAACGGCTGTTATGGTTTCTGTTACTCCTGTTTGAGACCGATACTGTAACCACAAAGTTCAGTTGGGAGTTTCTCTTACTATTCTGGTTGGGAATGACAAAAGACCACTGAGGTACCTTAGAAGGTACCCTTCTTCCTCAAGGGCAAGCTACAAATGCTATCTGGAGACAGATAAATTTCAGGCAAGGGTCACTCTCCAGAGCAGCTGTAGTTACTGTACATATCCTTTATGTGCCTGAAGAATCGATTAAATTTGCAATTCTTACAGAAAACAGTTGACAGAAAAATATAACACAGCTGCCTGTCTTCCAAACATACCAGTAGCGTAACTGCTAGGAATTCAGTGTCCAAATCCGTCTGCTTCCACTAGAAGCAGGTGGGGACTCATTTTCACTTCACAAGTCATACAGTTAACCCTTAAAAGGGAAACACGAACAGCACAGCCAGGTTGCTAGCAGGGGATGTTTGAGACAGGAATTTAGTTCCCTCCTTTGCTGTTTTCTTACGCCACCCAGAGAAGCCATCAGTTTATATATAGAATCACAGAATCATAGAATGGTTAGGGTTGGAAGGGACCTTAAAGATCATCTAGTTCCAACCCCCCTGCCATGGGCAGGGGCACCTTCCACTAGACCAGGTTGCTGAAAACCACATCCAGCCTGGCCTTGAAGACATCCAGGGATGGGGCATCCACAACATCTCTGGGCAACCTGTTCCAGTGCCTCACCACCCCCTCTGTGAAGAATTTCTTCCTGATATCTAATCTAAACCTCCCTGATTTCAATTTATCCCCATTACCCCTTGTCCTATCACTACAGGCTCTTGTAAAAAGTCCTCTCGAGTACCCTTGTAGGCCCCTTCAGATACTGGAAAGCTGCAATGAGGTCTCCTCGGAGCCTCCTCTTCTCCAGGCTGAACAAGCCCAGTTCTCGCAGCCTTTCGTCATAGCAGACGTGCTCCAGCCCTCTGATCCCTCAGTTCTTCTGCTCATCAACAGTTCCTTCAGTCACACACCCCCCATATGGCTGTGACAGAGTTCTACATGTGACGTAATAATGAAAAATAGATAAACTCCCTCATATAGGAACATTTGTCTTTAACAACCTAAAGCAGCCGTAATGTTAGCAAATATATTTTGATTGTAATGTATCAGGCATTAAACAAGCAGAAACATGAGAAGGATATGATAGGCCCACATAAAACGACTGCATCTCTGAAAGTTTTAAAGACCAGAAATCTTAAACATGGAATTGGAAAAAAACCTGAAACCGCTATATTGTGAATGCTACTATTAATATATCATCCTCCAGTTAAAACTATGTCAGATAAAGAAATTATGCTCTGCTTAGAAGATGCTAACCCAGCAGAGAAATGTTTAAATGTTACCAAACAGAAGGGGGGGGGGAAGGGTTTGGATAATGCCTTTAACTTGTGCTTTCTGTAATGGAAATGTGCTTTCTGGATCTGAAAAAAAATAACTCGTTCTCCCCTTCAAATATCAATCTGTGTGAGTTTTTTCCATGGAAACCAGTAAACCCACTCAGTCTGCAACTAAAACATCAAACCATTACCAAAACCACATACAAACTCTGGCCTCGCTGCCTCCACCTTGGTATTTCACTTACTTCATGGCTCCTGTGTGTTATAGTGGCCTTCACTGTTGAACAACAAACCGCAGTCTTTTTGAGACAGCACTCACGCTTGTCTCCAAACTGCACGCAGTATCACGCATATCCAATTAGTCATCTCAAGAAATGAAAGATAAATGCTAGAAGCATTAGCATAGCAAATGGGTATGAGAACTTTTACACCCTATTTTGCTTGCTTCCCTCTGAACAACAAAGGAACCAATTCTTTCACAGTTTCATCCTAGGAGAATGCCAGACCGCAGTGGACTAACATTTGATTTACCAAGCACAAGCAATAACTATTTGTTCCAGGGGTCTGAAGCTTTGTGTTAGGATGTTTCTGAATCTCTAAAAGAGATTTTTGCCTAGAGAGCTTTCCTTTCACATAAATATCATCACAGTATTTTATCATCTCTTTCAGGTCAGACCAGAAGAGTTGCTAGATTGCAAGTTGGTCCACTAAGACAAGCATTTGACCTCCATAATAAGGTACTGCTTACATGTTCCCAAGGAATGCAGCAGGTCCATGGCAGCCATACCGCACTTGGATAGTTTAGTACACATAGACCGCACATCAACTTTTTAAGCGTTCCTTATCACTCAAGCAAGTACTTACAGGATCAGAAGGACCACAGAAGTCTCTGAACACTTTTGGAGGCTTGGGTTGTATAATCTCCATTGCTATGCAGGGGCCTGAACACAACTCTGTAACCATCTCCTGGAAGAGAGCAAAGACGGAAACAAATCTGAGCTTCTTTGGGCATTAGCAAGGGTTGTATTCTTCCCCAAACTAGACCCAAACTTACAGGACAGGAACAACTAGGAAATATCAGTGCATTTAGGAAAGCAAAGACATGAAAGAAAGGTATCATTGGTATTCACAGTGAAGGATATGTTTCCCATATCGCTACTTGGTTTAGAAGGTGGGGATTGAGGTAAATTGGATATTCAGCTCCAACAGAATACTGAATAGCATGCAAGAGCATCCACTATACTTTAAATTCTTATTGATCTGGACCTGGATTTCACAGCAGTATCCCATAACCTGCCCAACTAGATTGAATGACTGGAAAACACTGCTGGGTGTAAGCCTCGGGGGGAGGGGGGGGAAAAAAATCGCACTCTATTCAGCCAGTTCCACAGGCAGCAATGGACTCTGCAGCGTTCCCTACGAGGAGCACAGTACACAGTCTGTATTTGTTTCCCAATATACCCTTGTTTGATGGCTTTAAGTCATTAAAATGTCTCTTGGGCTTTTGGTTCTCACTGTCTTTTCCTCACGTATTGCTACAGAAGCTGAAACACACAACCCAACAGAACCTGTGCCCATGGACAACTGTTAGGGAAGGGATCCTTGACCTGGCAACATTCCTGTGGTGTGCTGTTACCAGAATCTCCGTGACACCAAAATCATCTGTTTCCCTGGAGTCTCCTGGAGATTAAAGAGACATTGAGAGTTCTGAGTGGGTGATGACGATGGGTCTGAATTTTGATAAGCTTAAATTAACTCTGGGCATTAGTGCCAATTTTGAGTTTGTTAATTAGAGGTATAGGTTTCACAAGCAGAAAGAATCTATTTTGATGTTCCAGTCTGACTTCCTTCTGTAAATCATGCCCTTATCATTGCATACTTGTCTAGAAATCTGGGCAGACAGGTTTGAAACAAATCAGGACAATTAAAAGAATCAAAACCAATGAGGAAAGAGGAAAGGAGAAAACATTCAGAGGAAACAAGGAAGGAGAGGGAAGGACAATCAAGGTACAGCAGTCACACCCACCAACCATGGGCAGGCCAAGGATGAGCCATGACAAAGAACTAGAGCATACAGAGTGGGAAAAAAAGCAGTAGTTACGGAAGGATTAAGTCTTTCTCTGCCTTTTATGAACTGTGATGGAAACTAAATACACACAGACTCCAAGTCAAGCAGCATTGGTCCAAAGAGTTGCTGTCTTCCTAATAGATTCCATGCTGAGAGCATGTGCTTAATCTCCCCACTCTGAAGTCAGTAGGACAGAATTTTAGCCGAGTGTCTCTATCATCAACCTGACTAGGAAATGTAGGTAGAACTATTCCTGAGAGGACATGAAAACACTGCAGACTAGTTTCATGAATAAATATTTTAATTCCAAAAACTGTCTTAGCACCAACAGGTCTGTTAAGAACAGGTCAAAGGGCAATGTATTTCATTGTGTTAAGAAACAGTAAATTGCTACAAGACCAGTGCTCCGTACAATTTCATTGAATTCTGTCTTCAAAATAACTCTTAACAGGAAAGTGGAAAAAACCCAGGCTTTTAACTTTAGTTGAATCAACTGAATTCCTTCCTGTAAGCTGTGTTTTTTTTCTTGTTGCTCCCTTTTCCATTGTTTCTGTATCAGTGCTGACATCCCACCGGCAACAGCAAACAATGCAAGTGAGGTTATTCCTCACTCCTTCATTGCAACACAAAGCTGAGGACTGAAGACCAGCTGCCATGAACTATAACACTGAGGCAGGTCATCCTACGTGAGACAAGCTTGGTCTGCCTTACACAGCCTCATCAAGTCAAGAGTTGAATTTAAATAGCAGGCACTGTTTCTCTGGTAAAGCTCACAGTTACAGCTAAATCAAACTTCCTTCAGCAAATAGTTTATTCATAAATAATATGGTTTGTGGTCAACTAAAACCATTCCTAGAGCTGGATCAAACTCAAGCATTTTTTGATTAACAAAGTGGATTCAGAGGTGACCGAAAATAATCTCTTGCCTTTTTCTCCATTTTCTTTTCTGGCTACAGTAGGAAATACCAAGCAAAACAGCACAAAAGCTAATCAATAGTATGCAAAACCCCATGTAGGAGATACCAACAAAGCTAAAATTCTGGGCAATTGTTCAGCTTTCTCTTTTCACAGAGAAGTGCTTTATATACATTGTCAAGCCTTTATCTGACTCACAGGGGGTAACCAGAAGAAAGACTTCTGGATGTCAAGTATCATCTGTGCCGAGTTATTTTGAAATGATAAATAAAATTAAGATCAAACCAGACGGTTCTGAGTCACAGATATAAGAGGTCATATTCTTTCTTCAATATCCTATTTTGCAACATACTTCTTCCTATTTGGCCCGCACTGACAATATCTTTGCTGTTCCCATATGTGCCTTCTCTGGATCCCTTTACCATCACGATTAGCTTCCCCACGTTTTCCTGCTTCACAAATATCTTGAGTACACAGAGGTATTCATTTCATTTCAACTGAGTACATCCAGCATGTATGGCTTGCAGGACAGAGCCCTAGATTCCCACTGAAACGTATCATCTTTATTGATCTTACTCAGTTTAAATGTCACCTTCCCTTCTGAGTAACTCTCCCATTGAATTATATAATTAAAATGTGAGAGCTCCTGAAGATGGCAGAGGATTTCTGATTTGGTTCAAAGCAAAGGCTTCTGCACTACCACAAGTTCCTTCAGGCCCTGAAATACTGATCGGATATTATCATATTTGAATTCTGCCATGTACCTACAAGTCTGCCTGTCCAATCTTCCTTCGGTCCTTGTCAAAAACAGTGTTATCAGAGGAGACTTTGAGAGTATTTCCCAATCTGAGAGTAAACTAACAGTACTCCTAACCTATTTAAAGACAAATCAACAAACCTTGTTGAAGTTAGTCTAAACAATCATACAGGGGGAAAAAAGAAAATGTCATTATTAAAGTAATATTAGTAACTGTGTGGAGTAATACTAACAATTGTGTAGAAAGCTTTTAACAATTTAACCATTTAAAAATTAAGGCTCAATTGTATAGTACATAGCATGGCAGCGAAGCTATACTCATTACTGTTTGTAAAATGAACCAAAATCCTCTGACAAAAGGTGACACAAATGCAAATTCATCCTCTTGTATCCTCATTGTTCTATCTACAGTCATAAAGTTTTATGTGACAGTACAACGAGGCATAATAGTACATGGAATCTTAAGACATCCACCGGGATTACAGCATATTTTAAACTCTTAAATTTTCTGAAGATTCACAGAAGTCAGATCAATAAACTTAAAAATAGCTCAAAACATCATTAGGAAAGCATTCAAATACAGCAGCCCCACTGCAAACAAAATAATACATGCATATTCTGGCCCAAGCCACTACTGCAATATCAAACCAAAGAAAGATGCAGATGTGACATATCCTCATAGCTCTAGCGCAGTAAAATAGCTTGTGTGTGACTGTTTTATTTTACAAATTCCTTGGCTGGACAATTTCTACAAAAGACTCTCCTTTCTTACAAGACAGCATAAATTTCAAGATGACTTAGTTTATTTGAGAACAGGCTAGAACTGCTCAACACCAAGTTTCTAAAAGAAACCCTATCACAATCCCAAAGAAGGAAAGATGCGACCGCTTCCTCATTTAATCGTATTTTATTTTTAAACATATTCTTCTCAAACATATGCTTACCATGTATTCAGCAACGACACCTTTGTAAATCTCATAAAATTCTTCCACATTTGCACGCTCCATGTTGAACTAAGAAAACACAAACGTTAGCCAGTCTGCCTTAAACAACAACAAAAACCCCACAGACATCCCTTGTTAACCAGCAAACATTCAGAATACTCTTTTAAGCATTACTGAGTGAAAGGAATGGCTTTACAGCTGTAATACAAACTTAGCCAATGACACCACAGGCAACAGAGCAGACAGTAACTTCTTCCACCTTAAATATAAGCAGACAAGGTAGTGCTGGCTGATGCCACCAAGACATACAGAAAGATCTGTTTGCTAGATAGTAAAGTGGCTATTCTTCATTCGTGATGGAGATTTGACTCACAGGGGGATGTCAGACCTTGAGACTTTCACAAAAAGCAAAGGACTTACAGGACTACTCTTGGGAAAAAAATGTTTGTGCCAACATCCTTTCACTGCTGAGGGTGATCAGGGTGTCAAAATCCTTTAAGTATCTTTAAAAACCTTCCCCTAAATCAATACTAAATATATATATTTTTAAAATTAAGAAAGGATATCTGGTGAAGTTCCCACTGACTGTA